TTCTACCCTGCCTTGGTAAATAATGATTTCCAAATGGTAAAAAGTTAGCGATCACTGCCTTAAATATATATTTAGCCTTGTCTTTGCTGTTGTCATTGAGTCACAGTGTACTCTATGTCCTAGATACATCTAGGACAAATAATTAAACACAGGTTGTCTAACTCAGATATACTTAATAGATACTGGCTCTCAATCTTGTCAGAAATCTACTAAATGTAACATTAAATGTTTAAACTTATCACAACAGACAAAGACTCCCAACACCTAACAGTGAACCTCCCTGCCCCCAACAAGGTCTCTGAGAAGTTAATAGGATCAGTGATAGACTGCCTGGATCGTGGTATGATGACCACTGAGAAACACTGCCATTGACTTGCCCTCTGCCAGGGCTTGGCCTACACTGCTGACAAACAGAGGATACCCAGAGTTAAATGACTCATATTGCCTAAGTCAAGGTAATGGCTCATTTCTCATTTCACACGTATCTACTCCACAGGATAAACGTTGTTTGTCTTCAGGGCCTGATGGTCAGACTGGTCCTCTGATTCTGCCCAAGTTGTCATGGAGACCACAGGGACCTGGAAACTGTTTAGGTAGTGGAGTAGAGACCAGCCTCTGTCATTTTAATTAATACACGACTCCTAGATTATAATTTACTCTTCCCAGATTTCTGACTACATTGACAGCTAAGCTAACTGTAGCTTGACAGCTAGAAAATAGACCTAGCTCCTTCCCCCAAGGTAATCCACCACCTTATTAGCTCATTAGTCAATTTGTTAACTAGCTAAGACTGCCAGATTTCTTACCAAAGACAGACAGGTTTTCCTTGCTCACAGACTTCATGATAAAGGATACACAAGTGCAGATGTAAGCTTTCACAGATGTAATCCTCTATTACTTCCTTATCTAAACTCAGTTCCCAGCGACTAAATGCTTCATATTTCTTGCTATGCCACTGTCCTAACATTAATTGGTATAATTCTTATAAATTATACCAATTATAAATATAAGGGACAGACTTTCCACAGTCCCTATGACTAGCCTCCCAGCCGACGCCCCAGTTTAGTACTTCGACCCTTGGATGACCTTCCTTTCCCCCTTAGAATAATATAATTTAGCCTAACTCTGGGAGGCAGAGGAAGGTGGATTTCTGAGTTTGAGGCCAGCCTGGTCTACAGAGTGAGTTCCAGGACAGCCAGGGCTATACAGAGAAACCCTGTCTTGGAAAAACAAAAAACAAACAAACAAACAAACAAACAAAATTAGCCTAGCTCTAATAAGACATTCCACTATACCATCCAACTATATGATCACAAGTTCATATTTTAAGTTTTCTTTGATTGTCTTCTAACTATAGACTTAAAGTGCTTCTCACGATAAATCTACACTATAAGCTATCATGTTCAAATATAAGGTTCCCTTGGTTGTCTTTTAACTATGGACTTAAAGTGTTTCTTATGCTAAACTACATGATCAACTATTATATTCACAAAGTTGTCACATTTCTGAATTTCTGACCCGACCTGCGGGTCCTAGTTATTTGTGGGGCTGAGGAGGACCACAACCTGAAAAAAGAACGGGTGAGAGAGAAAAAGGACTCAAGGAAGCAATTGCTTGTCAAGAGCTGTGTATTTGAACGTGAAGCCCCCTTTTATAGTATGCTTTACAAGGGGAGGGGCTAAGAGGGGCCAGGTGGTGGAAAAGTACAGAATCTTCATGGCCTGTGCTCTGAAACATTTCATGGTCTACACGGTACACTGCCTTGAATTATGATCTACCTGCTATTCTTCAGAAGATATGGTACACTGCTTTGAGTTATGGTCTCCCTGCTTTCCTCAGAAGATACAGTACACTGCCTTGAATCTATCTGCAGCTGCCAAGCAGGATCTTGCGGTTGCCAAGTTGCAGGGGACATTGTGCAGGTGGGGAAAGGTAGGGGGTGAGGGTAAGGGAGAGGGTCCTGGCTTCTGGCAAATTTCCTTTAATAGCCTTTCAAATTCAATATATTTAGCCCCCTAGACAGACAAGAAAAGCCCTAATTTCTCCTTCTGCTCCACAAAAGATTTTTGTCTTCCCTAACCTCATCTGAAAGAGACTGTTCAAGTTGTTAACAAATTTACCTCTTTTGTAAATTTATAAGCTACAGGAGACCCATTCAGCTCTACCTCTCATGGACCAAATATACTCTGTCCAGCTAAGTACACCTGCCATTCAATAGCCTAAGTTCCCACTTGCTACCTATTTCAAAGAGTGGGATTCCTCTCCTGTGCCCTGGGATTGGGACTTCCCTCACCCCAGCCACCAAAAAACCTAAGGGTTTCAAATGTACTTTCAAAGGTACACCTAAGAAAAAACTTTTCTTCCAAATGTGCTTAACTTTATTCAAAACAAAACAAAACAAAAGTATGGCCGGGCACGCCTTTAATCCCAGCACTTGGGAGGCAGAGGTAGGTGAATCTCTCTGAGGTCAAGGCCAGCCTGGTCTACCAAGGGAGTTCTAGGACAGTCAGGGCTATATAGAGAAACCCTGTCTAAAAGAAAGAAAACAAAACAAAATCCCAATAAATAAATAAGGTGGGAACTCTTTGATAATTCATCTGATAATAAACTTAGTTTGATTATTGGTTGAATTTATTATTTGCAGAGACACTGGATAAAGGGATAAAATTAGGGAAATGTTTATGAAAGTCTTGGTTGCTCAGTGAATGAAAGCATTTGCTCCCAACCCTGATCTGAGTTTGATTCCTGGATCCCACCCATCTGGTAAAAGAGAGAGCTGACTCTCACAAGATGTTTTCAGACCACCATATCACACACTCCTGGCATACATGTATGCACTCATTCGAACACACACACACACACACCCTGAATGAACAAATGTAAAACAATACTAACACTGCCATTGAATTTCCATGAAGAAAATCTAAAAAAGTTTGGCAACTGTGGAAAATGAGAAACCCTACCCACCCTGAGACAGGGTTTCTCTGTGTAGCCCTGGGCTGTCTGTTCTTGAACTCACTCTGTAGACCAGGCTGGCTTTCAACTCAGAGATTGGCCTGCCTCTGCTTCCTGGATGGTAGGATTAAAGGCATGCACCACCACCTCTGGCTCTAATTTTGGACTCTTGATTCTTCTGCCTCTACTCCCCAAGTGGTGGATTACAGGTGTTCCACCACACCCAACTCAAATGGGAAAACCATAGCAATAAGTGGAATCCAAAATATCTGCAGCCAAAACATGCAAGGGCATGTAACTGATGCCACAGGATAGTTGTGGTGTGCTTGCCTGGAATGGTAAATCTGTGGGTTTGATCCATAGTACAGGAAGAAGAAAACATAGACAATAAATATTAGGGAGCTGATGTTGGCCAGTGCTGCAGACCCAGATGTGGAGCTGCTGCCCAGGACTATCTGGTCTTGTTGAAGTTTGGCACCGTCTGGTGGAAATGGTCTCAGGTTGAAATGATGATGTGTTTGGTGACTGAATTCTGTGTAAAGTTGGGCTGACCAGATCAACAATTCTTTCATTAATTAGCTTTTGTTTTATTCATTAAAACTAAGAGTGTTGGGTCATCCTGTAGCTCAGAATAGTCACAAAAGCTATGTATTAATCAAGACTGTCACTGTTGCTCATCCAAAAATGGTATTCATCTCGAGAACTTATTTGTCATGGTTTTCTTCAGTGTTCTTTCAGGCCATCCTTAGAAGCTAGAGGGCAGGCGGCTTCTCTCAAACAGAAATCCATTACTACAGGCTCTTTTCTCTTGGTTTATTTGCTGTTTTGTGCGCTGTTTTGCCTTAAATAGCTAACTGTCCTTGGGCTCCCCTCTCATGCTGGGATTACAAGGATTACAAATGTGCATCACCCTGCCTGGCTCCCCATCTCTCCATTTCTTTCTTTCCTTCCTTTCCTGGGTAGGGGTGGGGGTGGGGTATGAGACAGGGTTTCTCTGTGTAATCCTGATTACCCAGGAACTCACTTTGTAGATAAGGCTGATATGGAACTCACAGAGATCCGCCTTAAAGGCGTGCACTACCTTGCCAGGCCACAGGATTGATGGTTCATAACTGTAACCCCAGGTTAGGAGGCTGACCCAGAAGGGTTAATACATTCCTAACATCAGCCTAGGCTACATACATGATGGGTTCAAGGTCAACCCACACAGTGAGGCTTTGTCTCAAACCTCAATTTTTGTTTGCTTCTTCTTCTTCTTTTTTTTTTTTTTTTCCAAGACAGGGTTTCTCTGTATATCCCTGGCCGTCCTGGAACTCACTCTGTAGACCAGGCTGGCCTCGAACTCAGAAATCCACTTGCCTCTGCCTCCCAAGTGCTGGGATTAAAGGCGTGCACCACTAAATCTTTCAGCCACCACTGCCCAGCTTGTTTGTTTCCTTTGAGCCAGGGTTTCTCTATGTAGACCAAGCTGTGCTCAAACTCAGAGATCTGCTTGTCTCTGCCTCTTTAGTGCTGAGATTAAAAGTATGCACCACCATGCCCAGTTTAAATTGCAAAAGTTTTAAATGGAAGTTTTATTTGTTAAGGAAAGATCTAGAATTAAGTCTAAATAAATGGGAGGTGAGAATCCAGTGTGTGGCTGTGTTCTCTCCTAGATCAAGAGAAAGAACAAAAGAAGAGGAAACTAGTAAGGCAGAACAAAGGCATGGAGGAAAGTGCAACCATCTCTTCTCTTCTCCCACCCAGGACGGTTCCCTAAAAGGTTCCAGAAACAACTGTGGAAAGGCTACCGACATCACGGTGTCCCATGGAGACCATTACAGACGCCAAAAGGCAGGCACACACTTTCCCGCCACGCTGTGGCAGGGAACCAGGGGCGGGTCAGCGCAGGGCGGTAAGGTAGACGTCACGTCCGGTTTGGGAAGCGCCTCCGCAGGAGAAAGCGGCTCGAAGGCCGGTGAAGTAGGCGGAGCCAGGAAAGCGCGCCTTCGGGGGAGTGGGTGGGACCAAGTTAAAGAGTGTGGCGTCACATCCGGTAGCGTTAGACCGGTGCGGAGGTGGTGCGGAGCGTGTCGGCTTTCAGCTACTCTCAAAGTGTGGCGTCGCGCGTGGCTGCGGCGGAGCCTCTGTAAGGAAGGCGGGAGCTTGACAGCTTCAGTAAAGGCCAGCAGTGGTGACAGAAACCCGGAGTCATGAGCGACAGCGGCGAGCAGAACTACGGCGAGCGGGTAAGCGCGGGGGTGCGCGGGCGGCCGCGGTCCCACCCTGCTTCTCTTTCTAGGCCTCTCGGTCCACCCCGGCCGGCTGTCGGGAGCCTGACGTCAAGAGGGAGCCGGGGCGCCTAAGGGCCTGGTGGACGGCGCCTCTGGTCGGAGGGAGGCCGCCAGTGGGATGTGTGCCTCGCACCCGCCACGACCGTTTTTTTTTCTTCCCGTTACGGGAGGGAGGGGGATTAAAAATGGCCGCGGCGTCCCTCGGCGTTGGGGGATGGGAACGGTATCTTATTTCGCCGTTGCTCTCCTGCGAAGCCGCTCCGCAGCCATCTTGGGCTCGCGGGCCGGGCGCGCTGCCAGAGGCACAAAATGGCGGAGCCGTTGCCGCTCCCTACAGGCCGGCTTTGCCGCCTCTCCCCGGGGCTCCAGGGTGAAGCGGAGAAAGACCACAAGTGACCGGGAGCCCAAAGAGCCTGGAGCATTCGGTTGATTGGGGGGGGGCACCTGGTCCCGGGAAGGGACAGCTCTAGGATGCTCTTGGAGCATCTGGGAGACGGAAACCGCTGAGGGAAATTGGTGCTGGTTAGCTGTAGGGCTTTGTGCTGTAGCGTTTTTCTCATTGTTGAGATCTTACTGGAATAGAAGGCAAGGTCATTAGACGTTGTTGTATGGATTCTCCCTCCCCACCCCCGGGGGGACTTGTGAAGGAGAAACCAGTGGCGACAATTTATGGCGCCATTAAACTCTGAAATCGACGTGTTTTATTTTTTAAACTTCCACCTTCCATAGAGTGAAAATCGGTGGAAGTTGATTAGATTGTATATAACGGGCCTGGTTTAGACCCAGTCCCGAAGCTTAACAAATAAAGCGCATGTGGCGTGGCTTTAAAACTCACTCGCATGTGGCGAGCATTAAATTTATCACGTGAAGATGCGGAAGTAAGGGCACAGTGAACAAGTAATTACAGTTTAAAAACTGCTTAGAAGCATCATAAGAATGATGCTCCTCGGTACTAACGTTTTTATTTTCACAAAAAGTTCACAGGAACTCCTAACCACAAGATCATAGTTTACTTTTTGGTCAAACATTTTTTTTTTGGTTAGTAAACTCTAAAAGGCCTTTGACGGTTTGGTAGAGAATATTCTGGGACTTTTCCATGGTGAACTTGGACCCAAAAAGAGTAGTTTGAACGGATCTGATCTTTACTTGCCCAGATGAGTCCCTTAATATACTCAACCAATGAGTGACTTGTCATTTTAGCCTTTCCTAAGGAAAGAAACCGATGGGGGAATGGGACAGAATGTTGTTTTCGGGATAAAGGAGATGGAACCTAGTCTCAGTGATGGGCAAGCCTCTACTACTAAATTGTAGCTCACACATAACCTTGCCTCCTGAAGTTGAAATTAGTCTGTTTAGAATTAAAAGCAAATGTTTTTGTTGTTTTGGAACTAGATAGGTATGCATCATTATGCCCGAGGAAATTTTTCATAGTATTAGCAGTGGGTCACATTACTCAAGGAAAAAAGCAATTGAATGAAAGTGGGTACCATTTTGAAAGAGCTGAGAAATCATTGCTTTTGTTAATTTGAGGGCACCTTCTGGTGATCTTATTTGAGGTAGGGTTACTCTATGACCCTGACTGTTTTGGAACTTGGCTCGGTAGACCAGGCTTCTGCCTGCCTCTACCTCCCTCCCTAATGCTGGTTTAAGGTGTGAATCACCACATCCTGCTGACCTAACTACTTAATTGGAAAGAAAAGTATTAAAAAACGACTTTCTGGTTTATTTCTACACTTGAAAGTTGTGGAATACTTATAGCTCAAAATTTTTTTTTGTCTGTCTGGAACTCAAATTATGTATACCAGGCAGGCTGGCCTCAAACTCCTGAGATCCTCCTGCTTCTGACTTCTGAATGCTGGAGTTAAAGGCCTAAAATACCTTTTAGCCTATGTGTACAATTTTGAGCTACCTGATGTGGGTGCTGGGGCACAAACCTGGTCTCTCCCTAAAGAGCAGTAGGTGCTCTTAACTGCTGAGCCAATTCTCCAGCCCTGTAATTACATTTTTTTACTTTTTAATTGGAATCTTGGGATGAGTGGAAAACTGAAACATTTAGCTAAACTTTTCAAGAAGGCTTGCCAAAACAAAGTTCAGAGGTTTAAAAATACTTAAGGGTAAGTTGGGCAGAGTGTTGCAGGTTTGTAAATCCTAGCTACTTATCCTGGATAGGATCCAGAGTTCAAGATATCCGAAATTATTTAGCAAGACTAGACATTTTCCTCTAAAGGAATTAGGGATACTTTAAAGACTGGTTATGTAACTCGGAATGCTTGCCTGCCATGTAGGCTCACACAATATAGTACAAGGTAGCTCAAATCCTCCCTTGTATTTTACCAGTCACAGCTGTAAATGCAAAGTAATATGGCCAGATCTGATTGATTCACCTTCCCTTTTATAAGTGTAAAAATCATGTTCAAAGTAATAGTCTTGGATATGCCTGGTATAACCACCCATCTCTGGAACCTGAAAATGAGTTTCATTGACTTCTAGACCCTTAAACTCTTGGAGTTAATGTTGTAATGGTATAAATTGTTAAGCTCCCTGGAGGCTCAGTAGTGACTACTTCTCTTCCTGTGGACACTCCCACACTTCTTTCAAAGTTGTTTCCTAAGCAGATTATAATTGAGTGTGTGAAATAGTGTTTAGTTTGGTCACAAAATTTATTGGATGGATGTTAGCATTTAGCTCTATTGCTGTATGTTCTCATTCTTTACTATCTGTAGGACTTACTGAGTTGGGGTTGGGTTGTTTTGGTATTTTTTTAACTTAAAGTTGATGTGATAAAATCTCTTCTAGTACTTTTCAAAAATTATTTTGTAAAGCACTTTTCTTTGAAGGAAAACCACTGCCACTCTTAGAAGTGTAAATTGGTGTTAATATTTGAAAACCCAGTAATAGTTCCAGTATAGGGTGTAAGGCTTTTATTTATTCATTTTGATCGTCCACTTAGCATAAAATTCTAACTTCTTTGAGATTGTGCATGTAAGTCTTTGTCCTGACAACCCAGAAGCTAAGGATTGCACAAGCTAGATAATTTAAAATTATATTAAGCTATTTTGTGTTAATAGTAGCCAAGAGGCTAAAGAAAAGTTTGGAATTAGCAAATATTCTGGTAGGATAGTAGCTGTTTATTTAGAAGTAGTGTTTGGAACATAATAAGCCATCTGAATCAAGTAGTAGCTTGAATTCCACCCCCATCAAATTGCCTTTCAGATTCTGCAATCTTTTTTATCCTGTGACACCTTTGCATATTCCTTTTTTAATCCCTTAACTCTAAATTCTCGATTTTAAAACTAAAACATTTCTAAAATAATTGTAGCCTTCACACATAGTTTTCATTAAGAGAGAAGGGGTTGAATTAATGGCAAGTTTAAGAAAATTTTTTGCATACTTTTTTCATTGCTGACTAGACAGGTATAAGTCTCTTGAAACTGTTGAATTGTTTCCTTTGGCTTAAATAAGAATGCTTTAATGTGGCTATTGGTCAAAATAGAAAGTGGTATTTTCAGGGCAAAGTTAATGATTTTACAAGGTAAGTACTACTGGTTTTGTTGAAAGCTCGAAGAGGAATTTGTCTTGTTTGTACAGCCTTTTTTTCCTTTTCAGTAAGACCACAAACCTAAATGCTAAAAATGAATACTTTTAACCTTGACTTTGTAATTTGGCCACATCACTGATTGGAGCTATGGTTTATGTGTCCAGCATTTTATTGTTGATTAGTATTTATACATAGCTATTGTTTTCTAAGAAGGTCGTGTTTATTTTAGAAAGTGGTGCTTTTACACAGATTACTGTAGGATGTGGGCTATATAGAATTATTATTGTTTTTTAAGTTTCAGGTCACAATTGACTAGCAAATTATAGTCCCCAAATCACTGCTTTGATTTGGGTTTTGGATGCTATTTTCAGGTTACTTATTGGCATGGATTTCCACGTGGCAGTTTGGATGGGATGGGGCCCTCTTCTGCATTAAATTAAATTTTTTGTGCTTAGATAGTGGATAAGAACTTTCTAACCAAAACATATATGTGCTTTTGAGGGAAAGAATTGTTATCAACAAAGTTTTGGTATTTTTGCAAGTTTATAAAATGCACAGACTTTACAGCTAGTATAGGTGTGTCAGGCCCCTCCCCCCCTTTAAAGAAACTACTTAAGCATTTGAGAGTTTTTTTCTCTCCCATCCTTCTAATACTTGCAGAAAAAAAGTAGAAGCCTGTAATTACTGCATTTGGGAGGTGGAGACAGGAGAATTGGGTCATCTAAAACTATATGGTGACTTTGAGGCCATTCTGGGCTACATGAGACTGGCTCCAAAAAAGCCCTTTATTCATTTCTGTGTTGAGCTTTTCTTTCTTTAGCAAGGTGGAGTTTTTCCTTTGTTCATCTCATTTTGTTAATAATCTACTCCCCCAGTAAAATGTTTTTCTAAGTAGGATCCTTTTTCAACCAAATGTATGTTAACCCAGTAGTAGTTGATCTGGTAGTTTTATGAAGTGGCTGCTTCAGTTTAGCTGAGTTCAAATAATCCTAAATGCAAATATTGTTTAGCAGTGATTTTGTTCTTTTGAGTATAAGAGAAGAAAGACTTAGAAAGTGATAGTGAAGCAATACCAAAGTGGCCTCAATGTTGAAAAGTCATAGTACCTAAGCTTTAGGGTTTTCTGAATCTAAGCCCTGTGTATATATACATAAATAACCTTTAGGGAGGCCAGGCACTAAGAAAACGTGCTTGGGCATTCTGATTCCATGATTACATTTGTGTTTCTAGTAAATATTTCCCATTGCATTTTAGTGATGGATATTACAAGGAAATGAATTATTGTGACTCCCTTAAAATAAAAGCCATTAAAATGTTTCTAGGTTAAGCGCTAATTGACTATAAAATTAGGCTTTTCCTTAGTTAAAAAAGATGCTACTATAGCCATTGCCTATACCAAAAATAAAGACTTGTTTTG